GCTTAGCATCAAGCAATAACAGGAGAATTCAGGGGATCCTGAGTTCAAAGCCAGGAAGCTTGTGTATGCACAAGGACCCCCACCCCTGAAGAGGCACAGCCTGGCTACAGCCTACAGACCTGTGACGGCAGCCCAGGCGCTGAGGGACTTGGAGAGCTGGCATGTCCGGAGGGAGGGAACGGAGGTCATTGCACGTGTTCTCGGCGTAAAGTTATGTTTTGTTGTGGAGCTTTTTGTTCTCTGTAGACTCTGTGGTAAGGAAACGTGGTTATCTTAGCTGTCGGGCAAAACGTCTATAAAATGGGTAACATTGCTTCCCGTCACCCGACAGAACTCCACCTGGGCGACAGGTGTCTGGACGGGGTACTGAACAACAACAACTACGAGTCCGACATCCTCAAGGTACATGGGTCAGGCCAGGGCCTAGGAGGCCTCCCCAGAACTTTCTCAGTTACCGAAATAACTGCGTTTTCTGACTCTCAGCACCCTGTTGGTATATGTCTGTTCCCCCATATTCCGAAAACCAGGTGTGTCCTTCATGCCCATCATGCCATGACTCCACAGCAACTGGTTCCATGGCTCCACTCCTGCTCACAGGAGGCGAGCCCGGCTCTTAGAATTGCCGTGTGCACATCAGTCCCCCGCCACGGACTTAGCTTCACCCCATTTCCCTGCAGCATCCCCCGTAGGACTGCGACCCTCTCACCTGCACGCACGCCCCTGAGCACCTCTGTCCTGGGTGGATGTGCACGTGACCCTTCATGTGGGTTTGCATGGCAGGAGCCGAGCAGCTCCCCGTGTGAAGGACAGAGTGCAGACCCAGACCCTCAGCTTCCTGGTCCCCTCCTCACGGGCCAGTTGCTTTCCTGCATGGCTCCGGCCAAGGTCGGTGGCTCACACTCCTGTGCTGGGCACGCCCTGCAGAGGGGTAGAGTGTGTGTGACTGCACTGGCGGTTTGGGAGCCGGCTGCCTGCTGAGGCTTTGAAGGAGCATCTGGACACGCATCCTGTGCACTGGTTTGTGGGCATGATGCTGTATTGGAAGCAGGCCCCAGCAGGGCGGCGGCTGCCCTCTACAAAGACCTGCCACAGTTCCTTTGGCTTCATTTACCCACCTTTGAGGGCCTTTACAACCATTTACTCTCTTGTCCAAGCTCCTGTTTTTCCTGTTCCCCTTGTTTTGCCATCACAGAACTACCTGGTGGCCAGGGGTTTGACGTGGAAGAATGTGCTGACTGAGAGCCTGGTGGCTCTGCAGAGGGGTGTGTTCCTACTGTCTGGTAAGCTCCTCTCGGGAACATTGGCGCTGTCCATCGTCCCTGGCTCTCACCTTCCTTGCACAGCTTCCTTTGTGATGTTTGCTGTGGCACTCAGAGTTACAGGCCCTTTCTTATGTGCGTGTGGTTTTGGTGGCATACTTGGAAGTAGCTCAAGAGAAAAGTTAGATTTATCCTTCTCAGTACTTTTTTGGATTTAAAAAAATATTTAAATTTTTAATCTCAGTGGACTTGTTTTGCAATAAGGAAATACATTGGCATCCGGATTGGTTTTGTTCTTATTTCCCAAACGTCTAGCTCACTGTCTCCCCTTTTATGCATCAGCACGTTAGTTCCCCGCTAGTTTGCATGGCCACGTATGTCCTGCTGTTGTGGACACTGATGCTCCTGATGTCGGCCATGCCCGCATGGGGCTGTGTTCTTCCAGATTACAGAGTCACGGGCAGCACTGTGCTGTGCTACTGCTGCGGCCTTCGAAGCTTCCGGGAGCTGGCTTACCAGTATCGGCAGAACATTCCGGCCTCTGAGTTGCCAGGTAAGGAACCCCCTCCCCACTTATCTCACTTCTGTTTTCTGTGGCTTCTACCCTCCGGCATAATAGGTAGAAACCCTGTCTGGCTTTGTTGGTATTCTTTTTTTTTTTTAATATATTTTATTGATTTTTTACAGCGAGGAAGGGAGGGATAGAGAGTTAGAAACGTCGACGAGAGAGGAACATCGATCAGCTGCCTCCTGCACACCCCCCACTGGGGATGTGCCCGCAACCAAGGTACATGCCCTTGACTGGAATCAAACCTGGGACCCTTTGGTCCACAGGCCGACGCTCTACCCACTGAGCCAGACCGGTCAGGGCTTTGTTGGTATTCTTGGCAGAGGCTGCCTGAGTGCCGTGCTGTGTCAGGGCCATCGCCCGCCCGGTGTTAGCTGAGGCCCTGGGTGTTGGCTGTGGTGTGGGTTTCTGAAACAAGAGGCACAATCCACCCTGGAGGCAGCTGGAGGGCCCTCGTTTCCTGAGTGGGTTTTCAGTGAGCATTTGCCCTTTCCTGGAACAGGGAGAGGAAACTATGGAATGCGCAACAGAGTGCTGCCTCTCAGCTCCAGGTGAACCCCCCAGGCTGAGTGTGTGGTGCACGTTACACACTGTGGTTTTCTCTCCTAGTGGCTGTGACTTCCCGTCCCGACTGCTATTGGGGTCGCAACTGCCGCACTCAGGTGAAGGCCCACCACGCGATGTGAGTGCTTCTGTGCTGCTGGGCGGGGCAGCGTCCGCTCGGGTCCTCCCGGCTGTAGGGGGCTGACAGTCCTAAGGGAGGCAGACCTTGTTCTCCCAACTGAAGTTTTCAAGTGTTTGGACAAGTTGCTATCTCAGCTTGTAGGGATGTTTGTGAACTAGCCAGTTAGTATCCTACATAATTCTATGTAATAAAAGGCTAATATGCAAATTATCCCCTCAACCAAGAATTCAACCAGGGGGCGGGGCCAGCCAGACACCCGCGGCCCCTCCCCCCCGGCTTGCCTGGTCCAGTCGGCCCCAATCAGCCCGGATCGGGGCAGGCCAGCCGGACCCCACCCATGCACAAATTGGTGCACCAGGCCTCTAGTCTCCTTATAAATATACTACTTTAGTCACGTAGTATACAAAGTAGAGTTGTCATTTGGGAACTGTGCTCTCCTGTTATCTCATTTAATGAAACACTTTGCATTGAAAATGTTCTCCACATTCCAGCCCTGTAAGCACAGCCGTCATTCCCAGCCGACTCATTTCCAGATCAGTGGCCATGGTCACTGAGACCATCCTTCCCAAGCCACAGGCTCGTGTGCGTGCCACTGCACACGGGATTCTGTCGCTGGTGGTGTGAGCAGGTGACTGTTCGCTCTAAATTGGTCACTCACAGATGTTTCTTACGAGGCTCTTAAAGGAATAAGCTCACCTCCACTTTTTCCTGTTTTAATATATATATTTTTAATTTCGGAGAGGAAGGGAGGAGAGAAAGATAGAAACATCAACGATGAGAGAGACTCATTGATCAGCTGCCTCCCGCATGCCCCACACTGGGGATTGAGCCTGCATCCCAGGCATGTGCCCTTGACTGGAATCAAACCTGGAACCCTTCAGTCCGCAGGCTGACGCTCTTTCCACTGAGCCGTACAGGCTAGGGCTAAGCTCGCCTCCGCTTTTAAACTGTAGGCGTGTCCATCGGCGTCATGGGGAGGCTGAGGACACGCAGCTTTGAGTCTCCAAGAAAATTACCTAAAATTTCAATTTCTATTTTAAAGTTTAAAAAGGAGAAAAGAAAGCTTCCTTGGTTAGTTTCTGTGATAGTATTAAACGTATGCTGCTGTGAGCCCCCCATGCACACAATTTCTCATGTGATCATCCAGCGGGCAATTTCAGAATTGGCTTCTTTGAATAATTCTCTGGTGCCTTTGTGTGTAATCTGACTGCTTTCCCCCTGCAGGAAATTCAATCATATCTGTGAACAGACGAGGTTCAAGAACTGAGCGTTTGAGGATGCACCAAGATGGCGTGGAAGTACAGGGGTCCGTGACAGCGTGTTTCAGGAGATACTAAATATGAACATTTTAAGGGCATTTTACACTTCCCTCAGGGCATGCTGGGGTCTGTGCATCCAGCATCTGGTGTGACTTTACCTGTGGAGGAGACCCTCTCAGTGAGGCCCAGTAAGCGGCCTGGGAGGCCTGGGGCTGAGCCTGGGGCCTCCCGAAGTGCTTCAGCCAGAATAGCCACCAGCCGTCCCCCCTCCTGAGATGGTGATGAGCAGGTTTGCTCTGCACCTGCCCCACACGATGGTTAAAACGCACATCTCTCTTCAAGAAAAGTTTCATGGGGGAGAGAGGACAGTTTGTCAGAAACATTCTGTTGTTTAAGGAAAAGGTTTACAGGCTGTGCAGTGCCCTGTGGGAAACCCATAGCTCTTACATGCTTTTGTTTTAATAGGGTTGATGCTTCTAGTAAGATTTAAAATGCCACAAACTATAGCACAAATAATATAATTTATAATTTACAAATTGACTAAAATTGGGGATAGTATGGTATTTGAAAGCATAAACGTGTTTCTCTTTATTAATAAAAACATCACCAGGTGTCCAGAACTGCTAACCCTGGATACTGACAGTGCACGGCCCCCTCCCAGGCGTGGGCCAGTTGGATTGCCACCACCCGGAGCCCAGGAGGAAGCAAAGTGCTGGCCCTGCTGCTCCTCCCTCAGCATAGCTGCGGGCCCCACCCAGTGTCCCCGTGTTCCTTATTCCTTCCTTCCTGTGGGGCCGTGGCCAAAGTGCCAGTTGCAGGTCAGCCCTGGTGGCACCACGACCTCCCTGGAGCAGTCTCTTCCTGCCAAGAGCACGAGGTTGCCTTTCTTTCCACTGGTCCTTGCCCTGTCCTCAGTTGGGTTTGCTGTCATCTGGAATAATACTTGAAGTTTTGTTATTTGTAAAAGAAAAAATGTTTTTTATCTTTTGTTAAAACCACCTGTTTGTCTGCAAAACTGTAACCTTTTTGCTTCTCAGGAATACAACGGTTGTCTTGCTCTTGATACAGACTGAGAAGCAGCAGTGTGTGTGTGAGAAGGCCTCCTTCCCACATCTAATAAACAAGCCGCGTCTGTTTCTCTCTCCTCATGTTCGTTCTACTGTTAGTTAGGATGTGCCCCTTACCATCACGGGGACAGGCGGCTGTAGACTTCACTAGTTACTACTCACTAGTAAGGAGATTCCCCCAAGCTGGCCCTCAGGCCCAGGTCTGAGCACCCCAAAGGCACAGGGTTTCTTGGATCCCTCAACCTGAAGGAGCCATAGCCTAGTGATTCACATTGAAGCCACAGGCTATGTTATGTTTTTGTTGCAAGTGTGTGCACTTTGCAGCAGAGGTAAGTGCTTTTGGTATATCATGCTTAAAACGAAGGAGACATAATATAGAGAGGTATACCATGTTCATGGACTGGAAGACTCAGCATAGTAAAGATACCAGTACTTCCCAAATTGATCTACAGTTTTCTAATTCCTATCAAAATCCCAGGAAGGACTTGTATACACAGACAAGTTTATTCTAAAATTTATATGATGGGCATGAGTCCCAGAATAGAACAATGAGGAAAAAGGACAATACACTTCCGGTTATTACAGCTCTCTGCAAAGCTCCTGTGATAGGCTCGGAGATCCCAGAACAGAGCAGAGACCCCGGAAACACCCACACAAGCTGCCAACAGGTTTTTGACAAATGTGTCAAAGCAAGTGAGTGGAGGAAGGACTGTCTCTAATAAAGAGTGCGGGAACAATTTGATATCCATAGCAAATAAAAAACCTCCTAACCTGCCATTTGCCAACAATGGTGTGTGTAAAGTAAAACCTTGCTAGGCTCTGAAGCAGGATTCATTTTGTTGGCGCGGTGGGAGGTTTGGGGAACCTAGGAGCCCGCGGTCGTGCCTCCGCCTTTGCTAACCACGCCCCCAACGGGCCCCGCCAGGGAGGGTGACCACGCCTACAGTCTGACAGATTGGGCGGGGCCAGAGCTTTGGACACGCCACTTCCACCGGAAGCTCAGTCACCCTGCTTCCGGTCCGAGTTGGTCCTGCAAGTCGGGACACTGCTTCTCTATGCGGGCAAGAGCTGCAAACTCATATTCTGAAATCCGCTTCGGGCCGCTTGTGAGTGGGCTCGATGCCGGCCCTGCAGCCGGAGAAGCGGCTGCTGATGAGAAGAGTTTGTTCTCTCCTCCGGAACGAAGGCAGCGCGCACGGGCTGTTTCCGGGGGGGCCGAAGCTGTCGCCGCGCCCGCCCCCGCCTCTGGCGCGGCCACGTCTCCGCTAGAGCAGCCGGGCTGGGCTGCCGCCGCGGTTTCTCAGCGCCGGGGTGAGGGTCGCGGAAAGCTTCCAGGCCGGGACTCCGCCGGGGAGGACGCGGGGCTTCCATGCGTCACGGTGTGGTCGGGGCGGAGGACGGGCGAGGGGCGGCGGGGCCTGGGCGGACCCCGAGGGCGGGCCGCATCTCCTCTCGAGGTGGCGACGCCCCGTGCCAGCCCCGCTACGCACCGTTGGTAGCCCGGGGGCACGGGAGCGGCTGGTGCAGGTGCCGGGGCAGCTGGCTTCGTGGATGGCCCTTCGCTCAGGCCTTCGGAACGCTGTCTGCGCGTGACGGGGCGTGATTTGGGGCAAAGGTGTCCGCAATTGCTGTGGGCGCCGCGCAGGGACCTCGGGCAGCGCTTGGGCCCTGGTGCCGACGGGCCGCCAGGATGACAGGCGTCACATGGTGTCGCGTGGTTAGTGGGAGTCCGGGTGTCAAGAATCCGTGTGTCTCTCGGCCCCTCCCTCCACCTGGATTCCATCTCGTTTCCCGGGGCGGGGAGACTGTCCAGAGCGAGGTGGGCCGGGCGTTGTCCCTAGTGGAGCAGGTGGACAGCTCAGCTCGGTCCACAGGTGTTTGGTGAGTGTCAGTCGCGTGCCGACCCTGTTCCTGCCCTCGCCGAGCCCACGTTGTCTTGGAGGCACAGGGACGTCGGTGAGGTGGTGGCGGAGAGCATCGGCTGGTGCCTGGGGGCGTCTGGGAGGCCGGCGGGGGGAGGTGACGTGTGAGCCAGCGTCTCTAGACGGGAAACTCTTGCAAAGTTGTGGAGTGAGAGCGCTCCAGGCAGAGTGAGCAGCAAGGTGCGGACCGAGGGAGGAGGCCGTTGGGCGTCCTCAGGTGGAGAAGGTGCGGAGGCATCATGAGAAAGGAGGAAAAGGCCGTGGGAGGAGGGCCAGGTAGGGTGCAGCTCCGCAGTTTATGACTCGAGGCTCGGATTTTATGGTCCGTGTGATTGAAGCCACTGGGACATTGTAAGCCATATGCAGGTGACTCATGGATTTTTTTAAAAAATATTTTTATTGATTTCAGAGGGGAAGGGAGAGGGAGAAGGCATAAAATGCTTATGTAACCTCCGTGACCTGGTTTCCTGCAGAAAAACATGTCTGATAACTTCTTTATTTTAAATATATTTGCATTGATTTCAGAGAGGAAGGGAGAGGAAAGGGGAGAGAGAGAAGCATCAATGATGAGGGAGAATCACGGATCGGCTGCCTCCTGCACGCCCCCCACTGGGGATCGAGCCCACAACCCAGGCATGTGCCCTTGACCAGAATCGGACCCGGGACCCTTCAGTCCACAGGCTGACGCTCTATCCACTGAGCCAAACCAGCCAGGGCTAAAACATATTTTAAAGGAAGTAAATGCCAACGTTCTCGCCGAATGAGTAACAACTAACACCTTATCTGTTGACAAGGAAACTCGGCAATGATATCCTCAGCCGTGTCCTAGCTGGCATAGTTCAGTGGTTGGAGCATCGATTCCCGGCCCCTGTAGGAGCATCTGTGGGAGGGGGCCAGTCAATGTTTTTCTCTCTCAGTCCTCCTTCCTCCCTTCCTTTCATTCTCTCTAAAAATAAATGGGGAAAAATATCCGGGTGAGGATTAACAAGAAAACAGGAGTACCTCAGCCACTTCACAAGCGACACCCAGGTGCCAAACTGGGCAAAGTTTGTTCTCTTAAGTTTAGCCTCACAGGATGGGCTACACGATGCTGGTGTCCTCCTGTGAGATGCTCTCTCTGTGCCCATTCCACAGTGGCTGCCTTTCCACGTCCTTGACCCCATGCTTCCCCACACAGGACAGGGACCCCGTCCCCACAGCTGGCTCTCAGCAGTGGCCTTGGCACCTTCATGCCAGGTCCGCAGCGGGCATCCTCTGAGCGCTTAGGCTTGTGTCCTACACAGCAGTACTTGGCCACACGCGGCCACTTACACCAAATTAGCTAAATTTATAGGCAAGAAGTAGTAAAGAAAATTAATAAGTGAAAACTCAGTTCCCCAAACCCCACCCCCCAGCTCAGTGGCCACCTGTGATAATTACAGAGCCATGGATGGCTCTTCTCTGTCCTGGCAGACGGTCTTTGGCCAGCACCAGTAATGACAGTAAGCGCCTTCAGGAGCAGGCCCGGGTGTGGCTGGTTCAGCATGTTATTCTCAAAACCTAGGGTATTGTAGGCACTCAGGATTGTTGTTGAATGAATAAATTTGTATGTTTCTTACACAGATGCAAATTAGGAAGCAAATGTGAATCTTGGAATTGTTACTTCAAATCTGACAATGAAGTTTCATAATATTTCATTCCTGTTTTCCCTCCTCTTAGGAATCATATTACTTGGTTTGATTTCAAGTCGTTTATAAGACGTTACATCTCTTGAAAATGGAAAACCTAGTGCCGCCCTTCCCCGGGGATCCTGACTGTTGGTGATGGCAGAACCAAGCCTGCCAGCAGCGCCCGTGCAGCTCCCAAGCGTCAGCCCAGTCTGAGTCGTCCTGACCATGGATGGAGTGTCGGCCGTGCAGGGTGGCGTCTTGGAAGATGGATCCCGCAGTGGCACCTCAGCCTGTCCTGAACCCCTCCCGCAGCCCCTGGGCCCTCCGGCGCCACCTGACCAGTGGGATGAAGCCCCGCGTAAGTCACCCGTGTGCTGCTGACACTGCCTTTAAACAGAAGATGTGGCTCAGCTTGCGTTTTAGAGGAAGACTGTGGTGTTTAAGACGATAATGAACTTTTCCTTTAAAACGTGTTTTTAGTATCAGATGAGTGTCTTTCTTAGTTGATGCCATCTTTAAATCAAGTACCATGCTTGTCAAACCGAACAGAAACTGCCCCGCTTTCTGCCCCAGCAAGGAGGGGCTGCAGTGACTTCTCTTAAAGTTTCTGTGGGTCTTTCTCACACTCCATTATTCCCGACCTAGTGTTCTACCTTTTTGTTTGGTTGGCTGCCAGAATTTTACTAACGGATCCAGAACAGTCCAGTAGTGATCTAAGGATTATGCCACCACATTTGCATGTTAGCTGGTGGGTTATTTGTTCACCAGAAGTACAGGGGTGAATTATTCACTGAGTCTTTATACCCCATTCTCAGGATGCTCAGTGCAGTGTGTGCTTGAAAATTATAGAGTACTGCTTTAGTAGCAGAAATTGCACTATGGTTCTTGAAAACCATGTTCGAGCCCTAAAATGGCTCTGCTGGTTACTGCTTCTAAGTGCTGAGTGAGGCAGGTGACAGCATGGGCCCAAGACCGAGGATCCCACGGGGGGCACAGGGGAGCCGCCCTCGGATCCATCACAAAGTGCAGCAAGCCCTCTGGAGGGTCCGTAATTGATCTCGGCCTCACTGTCCTCTTGTGTGAAGGGAAGATGAGTGGAACCTGCCTCTCAGGGTCGTCTGGGGGCTGGAGGAAGTGGCCCGCATAAAACAAGCATAAGCAGGTGGGAAAGCGACGTCGTCATTGCTGTCTGTCTGTCCATAATGAGGCCTGTGTTTGGAAACAAAGTTATTTATTGGGCCTTCTCACTTCTAGATATTTTCCAAAGTACAATATGATGCTCGGTGATTACTTTGTTATATAAACAGTAAAGTTTTTGAGACTCCCAGATCTGTGAACGCATCAGAAAGTGGTATTAACCTGCTTGACTTGTATCTGAAATGTAGGACCCCCACCCCCACATACACACAGTGAAGCTGTCGGGGTCTTCTGAGGGCGCAGACACCGGCCTGTTGGTGGTAGGGCCTTGCCGTGGATGGGCCCCCTCGCTCTGCTTTGTGTCTGAGGCATCTGTTTGTATTCTGGTTTTACTGTTAGGGAGGCATGGCTGTAAGTAGCTGTATTAGTTGGGACTCACATTTTAAGTGACAGAAACCCATTTTAAATTTACTTGGGCCAAAGGCTATGTCATAGGCCCTCCCATCCTCCACAGGCCACATTGGTTCTTGAACTCCCTCTGGCTGGCCCACCAGTATAAGGGGCAGGGAAAGACTACAGTCGTTGAATTGTAGGAAGTCCCTTCCTATTTTCCTTTGAGTAAGGAAATAGGTTTAAGTTCATGTTTAACAAGTGTCTGTGGGAGGAACTGAGCTTGACACGTGGGTGTATTGTCATCTTTGGATGAACCTGGGCTCCTGCCTTCACAGGTGTTCCTTGAGCAGAAGCACAGGTTTGGGGCTCAACTTAGCCGAAACCATTCTGAGCAGCGAATCCACCGCTTGCTTTAGATTCTCATTTTGGTGGATGAACGTATACTTTGAAATGACTGTGAGGCTGTGGCTCTGATTAGCACTGCGGTTCCCGACCCCTAGCAGAAACACGGTCAGCTATGTTTTAAGCATTTGTTTTCATTTGCTGTCTTATTAACACAAACTCACAAGATTTCTCATTGGTCTTGTTTGAATGAAAAGGAAATGATACTTAAATTCTTCCAAGTGTGAGGTGAGGGCATTCCACAGATGAGGGTGGTGGGCTCTGAATGGTGGGGCAACCTGTCCCACATCCCTGCCCATGCAGGCAACCAGGGCCTGCTTTCCTCCCAGAGTGAACTGATGTAGGGTGTTGAGCTTGCTCATGCTTACGCTCTGGGTTCTCCTTCGTCCTTTTAGCTGCGTATCTGCAAAATGACCGGGTTGGGTTGTTGTCATCGAATGGCCCAGCATGCCCTCTCTTCCAGGTGCCAGCGCCGAGGTGGACAGAGCCATGGATGAAGGAGAAAGCCCAGACGGGCCCAGCGAGGGGAACGCCTGTCAGAATGGGCCGATGCCACAGCTCCCAGGCCCGCCGTCGGCTCTCGGTCCCACCAAGAGCCCAGTGGGTCCTGATGCGCCTCCAGGTGTGGCTGGTTTCCATGACAACCTAAGGAAGTCTCAGGGGACTAGTGCTGAGGGCAGTGTTAGAAAAGAAGCTTTGCAGTCTCTCAGACTCAGTCTTCCTTTGCAAGAAACGCAACTGTGTAAGCATCCGACCCCGCCTTCTCCCCCACTCCACCCTCCCCAGCGCCCGTCAGTCACCACCTCCAGGGGCATTCTGTTTGGTCACAATGGACTGTGCGTTTATTAGGAGGCTCCATTTCAGAGAGAGAGTGCACACCTTCCTGGTCCGATATTCATGGTGGGACTCCAGGTCCAGATTTAAAGGGCCTCTGTGTGCCTTTTGCCACCCTGGGTGGTGAGCAGGCAGTCTGTGGGGAATTAGTCTCAACAGTTACGCTTTGAAAGCTTTCTTTGATGAATTATTTTAATCAATGTTGATTTTGAGCTGATCCCTGGGGGTCTTGGGGTGAACAAGTCACAAACTGACAGCCTGTGAGGCCAAGAAACCTCTAGGCCGTTGTCTAACACTTGTTTCTCATACCCAGACAGACAGTTTCACACAGTGGGGCCACATACCCCTGTTCTCACAGGACCCTACATAGGCCTCTGTAAGCAGCCAGGGTTGGGGTCATTGCTTTTTTAAATGCGACTGTGTTGCTCCCATTATGGCGTGTTTGCTCCCTCAGCCATGTGACCTGCCTGGGTCGTCTAGGGCTGTCTCCCAAGAGCAGGCTTCTTGGTCCGAAGCAGCAGGCGTGTTTACTTATTCCGATCACGAGGGGTCCTGTAGCCGCGCCATGAGGACTCGAGAGAGCTCACTGCCGCCCGCCCCTCTGGCACCCAGACACATTCCTCTCCGTTTCCACTGGTCTGGTGGGTGCGCCTGGTGCTTCCTGGTGACTGTATTGTGAACCTTGCACTTGCCTGATGACTGGAGGGCCTGTTGGCCATTTGGTCAGTCCTTTCTGTGAATTGTCAGTGGATATGTTCAGTCCATTTTTCTTTTGGATTCTTTGCCTTTTTCTTCACAGTCATTATTTTATTAAGGCCATAGTATATTTTTAAAATTTCTGGAAACTCATTGGCAACATTTAAGCCAAGAGACATGTAAAAGCCTGGATTCCTGCTCTGAGAGATGTGAGCTCAGGGGCCCATGTGGCAGCGACCTGCGGCCACCTGCTTCCCTTCCTGGGGAGTGTTCACTCATGACCCTGACTTTCAGGCTGTGTCCCTGGTGTGGAGTTCGCAGATTTGGGTTCCCTGCCTGCAGCCACAGGCCTTTGGGTTTCTACCATCCGGACTACTTAGCCTTAAGAAAAGTACCAGACGTCTGATAAGTGCACAAATTCGTAATGGCGTTGGTGAATTTGCAGTGGAATAACTGGAATTCCATTGCTCAGGTCTTAGGGGTTATTTAAAACAAGAGCTGCTTATCTTCTGCATCTGAAGGTGGTGTTGTCTATGAAGTGGTTAAAATAGGGCATTTATCTGCTCTCACCAGCGTATTTCCCTCAGTGTCCAACATACCTGTCTGCTTACGTGACAGAAACCTGTGACTTGTACCATTGCACTCATTCTTCACCCTTTATTACCCAAAGTAAAACGTTTGAGTTTAGATAGTTTAAATTTTGTTATTGGCCAAAAGTATAACATGATTTGTTATTGCAGGACTTTAGGTAAGCTGTGGATAAAATTATATCTCCAGATGTAACTGCATAAAGAAAGCACGTTTGGTGTGATACACTCACGTGACTGGGTGTCACTCCATCACGACTGCTCTTACTGGTTCCTCTAACCTCAGAGATCAGAGTTAGAGCTCCAGGAGGGCCACCATGGGCACCGACATTTGAGTTCAGCTCTTCTGTTACTAAGGGGCCCCGTGTCCTCTTGTACCTTCTGGATGCTGTAGGGACCCCAGCCCTGGGCATGCCCATAGCATCTTTTATGAGGCAGGTCCTATGGGCCACCAGTGCCCAGTCCCGGGCTCACGTTTGTGTTTTTTAATCTGGAAATAGGCTTTCAAACTAGACAGCATGCGTTGTTTAGAAGCTAAGTCGTATTGTTAACTAAAGTGACACCAAAGCTGCTGTTCTGTCCTTTGTGCCCTGTGCTTTCTGAGCTTCTAAGTGGCTGTTTCCCCACCCAGGCTCAGCAGGGGCCTCGCTGTCGCTGGAGAAGGAGGAGCAGGTCCGACTTCAGGCTCGGCGGCGGCTGGAGGAGCAGCTCGCGCAGTACAGGGTGAAGCGCCAGCAGGAGCGCGTGAGTCCTGCTCTCGAGCAAACTAATGGGGAACTTGTGTGTGACAGGCCATGATTAGTCAGACGTAGTCCGGGACCTGCCTTAACTTCTCTGTGCTTCTCTGGAAAGGTCTTTCTCTCATTGGTTCCTGCCCTTTGGGGAATTTCCAGCAGCGCCCCGGATCCTGCCCCGCTGGTTCTTCCCTTGAAACAAGCACATTTCAACCTTCAATCTGCTGTTTGCAAGGAAGAGACAGCCAGCGCTAGGGTGGGCAGCATTGCTGTCTGTGCTTGAGCAGCCAGCCAGTCCTGGGCCTCCACGTGCTGGGGATGCCTCGGGAAACTCTGGAGCAGGTTTCTGCCCAGGGCCATTTGGGTATTTACAACAACATCCATGGGCCATACAAAATTATCAACTTAAACATGAGCCCGCTCTATTTGGTCAACCCTTTAATTAACTCATCCCTAATGCCTTGGCAGGGCCAGAACAAATGATTTCATGGCAGACGTTCCCCACCCGTGCTCTAGAGAATGAGCTAAAAATTATAAATTTATAAAAATATATAATTATTAAAGTAATTAGAGTTCAGGAATTTGGTTTAAAAGTACAAGTATTAAAAATCAAGCCCGCCCTAACCAGTTTGGCTCAGTGGATAGAGCGTCGGCCTGCGGACTCAAGGGTCCCAGGTTCCATTCCGGTCAAGGGCATGTACCTTGGTTGCAGGCACATCCCCAGTAGGGAGTGTGCAGGAGGCAGCTGCTCAATGTTTCTCTCTCATCGATGTTTCTGGCTCTCCCTCTCCCTTCCTCTCTGTAAAAAAGGAATAAAATATATTTTTTAAAAAAAACCAAGCTCTAGTGGATAGAGCATTGGCCTGTAGACTGGAGGGTCCCAGGTTTGATTTCGGTCAAGGGCACATGCCCAGGTTGTGGCTTGATCTCCAGTGGGGGGCGTGCAGGAGGCAGCCGATCAGTGACTCTCTCTCATCATTGATGTTTCTATCTCTCCCTCTCCCGTCCTCTCTGAAATCAATAAAAAATATATTATTTTTTTAAAACAATAATTACCTTATAAAACCAATTATAATATTAGTGGAAAAAGATAATATAATGGAAAAGATAAAGTATCTAAGCATTAGATTAAAATGGCAGAAAAGTGGTTTAGAATCTAGATGAACACTATGTAACTTCCTTTGAAAGCAGTTACGAATAAATGGAGGGAAATAGCTCATTATCCTTGAAGTAATTATACTTGTAAGGTAGTTCTAACTCAACAGGACTGCTTTTTATAACTCGAAGAAAATGTAAAGCTTATCTAAAAGCACAAACAAGGGAATGTAGCCAGGAAAGCGCTGTAAAGGAGGCGTGAGGAGGAAGGACTTGCTGATGGTGTTTTTAATGGTGAAGAAGTCACAGTCATTGACGGCTGTGCTTGGATGGTTGCTGGTGACAGGACAGTGAGGCTGCAGAGCACAGCGGGCTGGGGTGGAGGGGGCACACACGGGGAGGGAACGTCGTCCGTGCATCCTTTCTGGGTGGCACATTTTGAATGCTGTTGTCAATTTCAAACATAATCATCACGCCTTTCTTTCCTTCTCAGTCCAGCCAACCTGCAACTAAAACAAGACCTTTCAGCACACTGGATCCTGAGCTTATGTTGAACCCAGAAGCCTTACCAAGGGCCAGCACGGTGGCGATGACAAAGGAGTATTCCTTCTTGCGCACCAGTGTGCCTCGGGGCCCGAAGGTGGGCAGCTTAAGGCACCTAGCACATTCTAAGGAGAAAAAAAGTTCCAAATCAAGCAAAATTCGGTCCCTGGCTGATTACAGAACTGAAGACTCAGATGCTGGGAATTCGGGTGGAAGTGTTCTGGCCACAGACTCCGCTAGGGGCTCCCTGAAGCAGAACCGAAGCAGCATGACGTCAGTGGTGTCTGAGGTCAGCCTGGGTCCTGAAGCCGATGACCTGGAGAACTCATCCCTTCCTGGAGACAACATGTCTGAGGCTGATGGGAATGAGAGTGACAGCTCTTCCTACAGCGGCATCTCCACCCGGGGGGTGCACGGCCTTCTGGTGAACAGCGCAGGCACGCGTGAAGCATCCTATGTGATCAACGGCCAGGAGATTTCCTCCAGTTCTCTGGGCCAGTTCCCGTCCATCACGGATGTCCTCCAGGCCGCTGCAGCCGAGCACCGAGACCGGGGCCTAGAGGTTAATGGAGAGACACGGAGCCGAACGGACAGCATCTGCAGCAGGTGGGCGCTGTGCACACTGGGCCCGCTGTGCACACTGGGCCCGCTCACCAGTACAGTGGCCAAAACACTTAACTCATCCTTAGTCCTTAACGTTTTAAATCTGTCTTTGTAAAAATGGAGTTAGGGCTGCTCTGCCATCGTCTGCACTACTAGGGATATCCTGTCTCCCAGCATTTCTTTAGACCTGCCTCTAAAAGGGCTCAGGTGCTTGGCTCACCTCTCCATACGGGAGTTCCAGCCATGTGGGGCTGAACATGCCCGACTGTGGGGGGAGTGTTTCCTGGCAGCTCTCCACTGGAATCTTTGTACTTGTTTATTTTAAACCTTTGGGGGAGAATAGCCAAGGGTGTGTGAGGTTTGGAGAGTATGGACAAATGTAAAGGTAATGATCACTCGTGTTCCCACCACCTGATCCTTTGTGCCTTTTCCTCCAGCGTGTCCATGGAAGGCTCTGTGGCTGAAACTCAAGACGAGATGTTGCAGGTTCTTAAAGAAAAAATGAGACTTGAAGGACAGCTGGAAGCCCTAACCCAAGAGGCTAGTCAGGTAAGGGGGGTTTGGTGAACGTGTTGTGTGCCTTGTGCTTCCTGATTGTTGGGTGGAGTTTCACTCGTCTTTATGAATAAGTTGCAGTTCCGCCTTCTCTGGGGTAACTGTCATGGCAGACCCCTGGATAGTTTGGAAAACGTGGTACTTTCCTAGAGCTCACCTGTCGACACCTTTCTTTGCCTCACTGGTTGGTGTGGCAGCCTTCTTAATGCACAGGGTGGAAGGGACCTCATTTCCTGACAGTTAGTGTGGCTGTTTGGTGATCTTTCCAGGCACTTAAGGAAAAGGCGGAGCTGCAGGCACAGCTGGCCGCCCTGAACACGCGGCTGCAGGCGCAGGAGGAGCACAGCCACAGCAGCCAGCGGAAGCAGGACGCGCTCAGTTCGGAGGTGGACACCTTGAAGCAGTCCTGCTGGGACCTGGAGCAGGCAATGAGCGACCTGCAGAACACGCTGGAGGCCAAGAACGCCAGCCTTTCGTCCTCCCACCACGACCTGCAGGTGGCAGAGGAGCAGTACCAGCGGCTCCTGGCCAAAGTGGAGGAGATGCGGAGCAGCATGCTCAGCAAGGACAGCACAGGTGCGTGTGCGGCCCGGCGTCTGCGGCCTGATCTGGCGCGGGGTGCGCCTCAGAACCTGCTCTGAGGACCGACCTGTTGTCATGTGAATGTGCTGTGGGTTGTATTCCCTTCTGATCTGCACACAAGGTGCCCACTTTTCTGCATGCACATGGGGGTGCCTAGGTCTTAGAGGTTGGCCTTTCCACTCACTCTGCCTGTAGAGTCCACCGTGGTGGGGCTGGAGCCGCCTGCTTGTTCCACAGAATAGCAGGTCTGATTTAAAATACGTACAAACCTACCTTTCGTTCAGCGGTGGTTCTACCTGGATCCCTGTGGGGATCAATTACCGTGGAATGACATGTGGAATAATGGAGTCCAGGGAACCTGGGCGGCAGGCCATACATAGAGCACCTGGGGGCGCTTCACAGGACGCCCAGTTCGGCATCGGCCGAATGTTAGACCTTCCCATGCAGGCTGCGTAGATTAGTCTCTGCTGGCACAGCAGCCGCCTGGGAACTGGGAGCGGCTGGTGGGGCTGCTGGGAAGGGCCATGTCTGTCACGTGTGACACTAGGTGTTAGGGCTGATGGCATCTCAGGAAAAGGGACAGCCTGCTGTCACAAGGGCTTTATCCTGATGCTAGAATGCACCAGCTGAGAAACGACACAGTAGACTTTCCTAGTTTCGGGCATTCTATGATACACAGTCCCTCAAGAAACTTACAAAATCCAGAAAGTTCTGAAAACAAAAATAATCGTATAATTCTGAGTTGCAAGGCACTTAAGGAAACCTGTCTAGAGCTCATTGGGCAGTGAACAGACCTACTCACATGAAGCACAATGACATGTTTTTTGCATTTTTTACTTTTTTATGTGACTTGCTATTTTAAAAGAACCTGAAACACTGTGATGTTCCTAAGTGTGAGGGGCTGCGATGTGTTTAGTGGAGAAAGTGTGTGTTAGGTGAGCTTCCTTCCACATGAGTCGTGGTGCTCATGAACCATGTAGGTGACAGACACGCACGACAAGGACCAATTGACAAAATGTCATGGCCAGAACCTAACCCTGTACCCCTAGGAGCCATAGCTCAGCACCCAGGCTCGGATGGGCTGTGTCCCTGCTCTTCAGAGAAGCCACACGGACCTGGACATCCACGCGGAGCTGCGGGCTCCTGCTGTGGCTGCTCTGAGCGCTGTGCTTTCTTGCTTCCAGTGCACGACCTACGGCAGCAGATGACAGCCTTGCAGAGCCAGTTGCGGCAAGTGCATGGAGCGCAC